CAATTAGTTCGCAACCGCCTGTATGACCGTCTGTGTGAAACAACAAATTGCGTAATTTGCCCTTACGGCAGGGGCGGTGATTGCATGAGTTCAGGTACGATATACCTGATCTCTTGTAACAATTTCGGAGATGAATATATTGGCGAAACGGGCAGACCTTTGTGTATCCGTATAAAAGAACACCTAGATGGCAAACGAAAACTAAGACGAAACACCCCACTAGGCACGCATAGGATACAAAAGCATAGCGGAGACGATTTTGAAGTAAAAGTCAATATCCTTGCACAGGAGTCCAAAACACCAGCGCGAAAACTCCTTGAGGCTTTTTGGATCAATGCCAAAAACCATACAATGAATAGCAGGGACGAATGCCCGGAGGTCATACGCGACCTGATCCCGTACGTTCGCATCGATTTTTGATGTGCGATGGTGCAGTCGTCAACCACATGCGACTATAATCAGCTGTTCTAAACTTCCTCATTGGATGTCACGAAAAAGCGGTGGGTTTTTCGAGAAGTTGTTGATCGTGTAATTACCAGGGAGTTTTTTCGCCTTTTTGTAGGTGTTATTGAAGCGTTTGGCCTAGTAGTATCAGTAGTATCAGATTGTATTTCAGTACACCCTTCCAGGCTCTGAAGAAGGCGATACTGCCGGAACGTCAGCTACTGCGGTATTGTACTGTGTGTTTTTCTATGGAAGTAAATGTATGCTGTTTAAAAACCTCGCGATTGCTGAACAAGAAAACGACACATTCATATTCCAATGCCGAGGTTAAGAGAAAGTCGATCCTGGCAACCATTTTTAATGTCCTGTACTTGTAGTACACCTTTTCAAAATCCAGACGTTAGTATGTGCTGTGTATTTCCATTCAAGCATTATTTACTCGAAGCCTGCACTCCACTATCTAGGGAAAGCCCATTACACCAGACTGCTGATCACTAACATCTTTGAGTGAAAAGACCTATGAAAAAGCATACATTGATAGAAATTTCTAACCAATGAGAGGAAAAAACTTAATTCAATAAAATTTAGATTATTTTTCAACAAAGTCAAATCAGAACGTAACATAAAGATGCAGAAATGGTTTGCAATAGTAACGCCGAACTTGGGTAATGACCCGTTATGCAAAAGATGAGTCTGAAAGTTCATTCTGGAGACGATAACGATCTATAACCGCCTGCTCTCATCGACTCGAACTGATTGAAGAGTATCCATGAATAACGTTCTGAGAGCTTGTGAAACATCTTCAGAAAGAATTACGGAACTTTTCAAGGGAGTTTGAAAGGCAGTGGCCGTGGAAGCATGCCGTGTGATTTGGGCGAATTGTAACGAAACCGTCTTAAGAAGTCGGTCATTGCTTTGTATTGTTGAACAAGACCGATCCGTTTCATGATCGTATTTTGATGTGTAGGAAAAAAAATGCATTCTGCACAGCAACAGATGACGTTTTCAGCGAAGTTTCTACAAACACGAAGAATCGAAGTAATTCTTGCAGTCTAATTTGCATGAAATGAACGACATGACGACTTTTCGTGCTCGGCAAATGGAATTTCTCAGTGCTATCTCATCAAGAATCCTAATAAAACCATTGCGGTCGAAAAACATCGCTGATAAACCGAGAAGATCTACTAGAAACACAACTTCTAGAAACGGTATCTGTTGATCAAAAGGGGCCATTCATCGTAAAAACGAAACTGCAAGAACCGAAGCAAGTGGGATTCGAAACCCTTTCTATCCCAAATATCCACAAGCCTTCCATTTACAATCGACTACTGCGTTGCCTATAAGAACTAGGCCGCTGTTAAAAAGCTCTTCAGGGAAATAGAAGGCCTCGAAATCAAAATTTCACCATGATTGAGTAAGTAAATCTATTTTATCAAAAACGAAAATGTTGGGCTAGCGTTTGGGTTTTCCACTAACAATTCTCGTCTTTTCCATAAACACCACTTCTCAAAATGCCAAATTGCTTGTGGGTTTTGTGGTTGAACACCGTTTGTATAGTAGCACAAAAAGCGAAACCGTCATCCCCTTCCATTATACAGTAAGTGGGTCCTGCCAAAATTTTGGTTTGTTGCACTTTTTTCTAATGGACTTTGTACAACGTAAGGCGGAGAGATGAATATTAATAAAAACTACCTACAATCATCAATGCAACAAGTCACTTGAAAGTACTTCTATAGATTTGTGTGCAGCAATGCATACAGCGATAGAGGAGAGGCCATCAACAAAGCTCCTTGCAGCATTGACACAAAAATGACGAAATAAACTCACATCCAGGTGACGACTAGTTGAAGCTTGATGGTACCGATTTGATTGAGATTCATCGTGACCAACTGTGGCTCTGATGAAAACAAATCACAAGGCTCAAAGGATCGTTCTGATAACAATTTCGTTTTGAACACACGGACTTCAGCAACCTTAATAAAACAACGCTGTCAGGTTAAAAAAGTACAAAAAAGACTTTACACATAACAGGTACAGCTAACATCAGCAGGACAAGTCATTATAACAAGCGAAACATGCATTCAATTACTTCCAGCACGTTTAATGGAGTCGAATTCATGGCGCATCCTTAAAGAATTGACCAATACCAAACGCTGCATGCCTTGTGCTTTACGCTTTACAGTAACTGTTATGAGTTTGCGTAACAGCAAACAACAAATTTAGCTCAGAAATTGAGTGGTTTCACAAGGAAGTGATAAATAAATGAAGAAAATTCTCACCTTCACCTCTATGCTTGCATCCGGTTGACAGACAAGGATCGCCTGTGATTTATCCCATCTCTGTGTTCGATCGACTTGAGTTCTACCTCGTGTTCGCCATTTCTGATTTCCATGTCGAATAGTCACCTCAAACACATCGCCGGCTGCTAGACGTGCAAATCCGGCGATTGCTGAACTCATGGACTGATTTCCTGATTTGCACTTGTCAATCGATTTCATTTATTTTTATTCTGAACCTTTAATATCAACCACTATCCGTCCCATCATATTCTGCAGTTCCATTTCGACAGCGGCTGCAGCACGATCGACTGTCTTTCCGCTAAATGCCGCTCGAAGATCGGTGAAACTTGACGATTTTGCTATAAAGCCATAACTTCGACATTATCATGATTGAAAACATCTGAGTTGGTGTTCCTTGAAAACAGGTACCGTAGGCGTGTGATTCACCTATGTCAATGCATAACAGAGTCACATGCTGTAGTAAAGTAAGAGTAAGCAGGGGAGATAGTAAGTGAAATCGAATATAGTTTTTGAAAGCAAATATTTAGAAGCACTAATGATTTGCAAGTAACAACGATAATTAACATGAAAGAATACACGTTGATTAGTCATACCGAGGCTAAAGGAAAGTCGTCTTTTGAAATATTGTTACATTGTGTGCTAACTATTCTAATACCGACTGCTGCAGGATGGATTATCAGCTGGAAAACAAATTATTGTCACCGGACAATCACTATCAACGACAACCGTCCTTTCCAAAAAAGCATTTCTGGACGGGGTTGTCTCGTTCGAGCGATGTCAACTGAACAAGATCTGACTTTGTACGATGACAAGGGCACCACATCGAGAAGACGAATGAATGTGGATCATCGACTCCAGTCATCTGCTCCGAAGAAGACGAAGACATCGACACGTCATCCAAATAAAGTAGGTTGTACATCTCGTGTTAGCTTATCAATGAAACAGTACATGTTAACAATGACAATCAGTTTATTTTCAATAAAAAAAAGTAAAATCATTTATTCGCTCCATATCTGCGCTAAGATTGAAACGTGTTTCGCTCAGTTATTAAACAAGTCAGATTGGCATGGTTGCGGAAACGGCACTGGTTAAGGATACTATGCGATAATACGCTCATAGCTGATGATTCTGCCGTGCCACGGGCAAATGAGCTTCGCATCTCTTAAATTTGTTTAAGAAACGCTACCTCCGATCCAGAAAGGCTGGTAACTGCGTTCGTGGTGAAGACCTCAGGATGCAAGGCTATCCCGATACTCTAAGGAGAATCTGCTTGAACAGAATTTAATGATCTTGGTGAAAAATACGAAGATCTCAAGTGACAGCCGAACCTCTATATAAGTCCAAGGACCTTTGTGGATAATGGGTACGAGAAAACGACGAATCGAATGAAAAAAGTGCTCAGACCCACAGAATAGAAGACGAGTTGGGACGTATAAGTAGATGAAATTGAAAAATAATAGCTAAAAAATATAAAATTACGTAGAAATAAGCTCCAAAAGTTGATAACTTATTTACCTATGCCCATTTATACATACTGATGTGAAATCTGATAGTGTTGACATTTCCAAAACGCTTACCCGTTGGCGATTGAAAGACGTTGATCTGACAAATAAGCGAGGCGACAAACACCGATGGGGGACTGGAACGATGTTCGAAGCAGAGGCTGTTTATATGGTGTTCGCCAAAACGATTTAATGGTATGCGAACGATAGAATCGAAACATGCGAAAAAAAAAACTCCAAAAGAAATCGCTTCAACAGCTAAAAATCACAGTTGGACGACAGAGACGACATTTGGCCTTCTAATACCCTTGTTTTTTTCGAACAATTTTTAATTCCAAACATATCACTTGCAATGAAACACTACTGATGAAACCATTCCTATCACAACTGGAGTCCAAATCAGTTAACCAATAGGTGTTGTGCCGGTTGTTCTAAGGATCACAGTGATAAGACGTTTCTGAAATGAATCTGGAAGCGACACGAGGTGAATGATAGGTACGAAGAAAAGCCAGTCAATCGTCGATAGTTGTTAATATTTTGAAATTATTACTTTATTTTCGGCCCTTATACAACTAAGGCCTCCTTATAATGAGGAGATTTACTCAATTTTCCTCCTGAAAGACTAACAGAATCACAGAAAATGGAAGGCTTAACCTGTCCTGAAATGATCATGAAGAAAGAAATCCGAATAACTCAATAGTCCTAATTCAGTTGGAAAATATATAGACAAAATTAATGCCCTGAAAAGAAAACCCGCTATGGCTCATAGACTAACGATAGATGGATGACGGTACGACTGAACGAGGTCAAACTAACGATCTGGTAATTGCAGCGTTTCGATACAAGAACAGCTCAAGAAAAACGAATTTCGTGCCAGATGTAAAACGGAAGTCAGTTCCTTCCCCAGACAAGTTCGGCACCAAATTCCCAACTCTGGCGGAATGAAAGGCTTGGTTGGCCCGAACCGGAATCGAACTAGCACCATGCTCGTGATGACGGACATCACTACCACTGTGCTATCCGTCCCTGTCATTGATGCACAAGCAATGCAAGGGGGTTATATTAATTTCCTTGAAATCGACAATACCGTTACTTAATTTTGAATGTTGCTCGCATTTCTTTGTTTGATGAGTTCAGGAACTATAACTTAACGACGTCGATAGACTGAAATCGTGAAATTTAAACATTAGTAATAAATGAAGAAGAACGTAAATAGTAGTGATAATAAGCAATCTCAGCAGTTAATGGTTAGCATGACACATTTTTTTAGATTGTACATTTTACATAACCCGTCATCACATCTACTCTGCAGATCCCAGAACTGCTTCCAATCGATTCGCTTTCCTTGAATTCATCGTTCTCAGTGGTTTTCAAATATTTCTCGTGTTGTTTCAGATGGTGTTTAATTATTCCGACTTATTTTTATGAATGTTGTAGAATGCTGGTCAAGTTAACTCTCCTTGCAGTCTTGGAGATAGCCGGGATAAAACGTTCCCGAATGGACTAGGGAAGAACGTTGGCGGAAGGGTCAAACTAGCGCCTTTCCCTCCTGATCGACGGCACCACTAATCACTGCGCTGCTCTTCAGAGTGGCCAAGCGAGCAAAGAAACTGTAAGGTCCCAGGCAAATTCCTATTCACTTGGTAATTTTGGTGATTCTGCAAAGGATTTCGTTCTAGAGGACTCGGGACTGCTAGTCAAGAACATTCTCATGTTTTCGACACTGGAAGTCGTTTGTTTTACGCATTGCAGACGAAGCATCACTTGCAATCACGTTTTCTTCATGACAACGATGATTCACGAGAGAGTACCACCGTCCCAGAGAATAGATTACCACTCATCACCGCTGTACAGGGTATTTCTACGCACCCATAGCAACACGTTCAGAATAATGAAAAATAAACCAGTAGAATGATTCCTTGGAGATGGCCGAATCGCTAACTATTAAACACCATTCTGACGCGTTTGGGCTCATTATTACCCATATTACTTATAACTACAATAGAACACCATAACACTCATAACACAAGAAACAAAATTCAGCATACATAAAACCTATCGCTGCAGTAATGTGTCAACATGAGCTGAACAATAAACGGTGATGACTATGTGCGAGAATGAAAAAACCGCCATCGACTGATGGATTCAATTCAGATATCAATACCAATTCAGTAGTAAAACAACGACAATAAACCTTGTTATCTCGATTAATTTTACACGACCCATCTAATCTGCGGATCCTAGCACTTCCTGAATTCGATTCAATTCTTCGTGCCCACATCTACAAGTCGTCTTTTGCAGGTGAGTTCGGCTGTTGTTCGAGAATTTTCCTTTGGTCATGAATGTCTTTGAGCGATGGTCGACTTGATTCTCCTTGGAGTACTAAGATGACCTGGTTAGAACATCCCCACATGGATTACAGACGGTGAACTTTTCGCGGACAAGTCTAGTACCAGTTTCCTAACTTCGGAGGGATCAGAGGTTTGGCAAGCTCGGTGAGGGGTCGAACCTCCGTAATGATCAACAGCACTAACACCACTTCTACCCGCCCCTTAAAGCTTGGTATTACTTAATGATAAACACTACTCAATTATAAAACACCGAATCGTTAAGTACACTAGAAACTAAAATATCCAGAAGACTAAAAATATGGGAATATTCGAGAATTGTCAACAGAGCCATCTGTATATGAGTGTTTGTTAGTCGTAGTTCCATTCCGATATGAATGGCAGAATGCGGAAATCAGACAGAAAGAAGAACAGGAACTCTCTACTTCGATGAAGTAAAATAACGTTCCTAAATATACCTTGTTTTCTTGATAAAAACACATGAGGTCCCAATTTTACTATTACAGCATCTGATATCTTCGTGGATTTCGAACTCTTCGAAGCATTCACAATGTCGTGCATGCTCACAAGGAAAACAGTGAATTAGTGATCAATGCCGAGGTTAATAGAAAGCCGGCCTTGGAAGTCCACGAATATTATTTAGAAAATTACAATAGATCAACCTAAACCATCGAAGAAAGGTATTCACATCAATGTGCATGCTTTTTGTTCAAAGAAAAACATAAGAAAACTACAAAAAACCGCCGATAATGCAAAACATGGATATTGATCGCACAATGCAAATAGCCTCGAACTTGGATAGAAAAGAAAGTACTCGATCGTTTAGCGATAGCATGAAGCAACATGAAGTTATGTGAAAAATCTACATGGTGTGGATATATCTCATCTAAAGATCTCATCTATTTCATGAAGAATTTGGTCACCATCCCACCACCACCGTCCTCAAGTGATGTTACCGCCACTGTATCCCGATTTGAAAAAATCCCAAAATTCGTCCTCTTAAGATAGCATATGATTATCGAGAACATCTCTTATCTCTGGCGGACCTCTTGCCAAACATGGAACAAGGCTTGTAAGAAAATTGCAATGAACATTTTCTTCATCAAAAATGGCAAAATGACAGCATTAAGAGTTCTAACGAGATGTTCTCAGAAACAGGTATGGTGGTGAGTGGTTCGTTGACCAATTAGTCAGCCTTGAGGAAATTCAAAACTGGAAGGTCGTTTGTTAGAATCGCATTGCATCAGTGAACGTATAATACCGGTAAGTCGATTATCGACGGATTTTTATTCAAAAACGACCCAAATATAAGATAGAAACCGAAAGCTGAACAATCAAACGAAGAAATATTCTAAAGGAAAGCTTGGACGAAAAACCAGCTATTAAAAGTACATTAATACCGGCTAGCCAAACGAAAACGAAAGGCTGCAATGCTCGGAAGGGTCTAAATATTCGGTATTTGCTAAAATAAACAACAAATAAGGCAGTCATCCTTCAGCTAGAGTCGTCTAAACTAAGAAGTTTCAGTACTCAAGGGCCAACTAATGATATGAATTAATTTTTCCTTATAAAATTTATTACTGAAAGCCAGCAAATTTCCTTGCGATTAAAGAGAGTCTGCCACTACGGTGATGATGACTTCCTATAAACTCCGCAGTACGGTTTCAGTAGTGTAGGGAAGATTTTGCTAAGAAGGGGACGATTCGTGAAGGTCATACAAGCATTCTGGTAAGAATGGTAAAAGGAAGATTTAATTCGGTGTGTTTTCTTTAGCATGTCAACGAATCATTCGAGCTCTAATCTTCATCTCAACGAGGCAATTAATGTCAGCTTCAAAAGATAGCCGCTATTATGACCAAACCATTTCATAGTGGTACAATGTAGAAGTTTCTCTCTGACACTGTCAAAACCGAATAAAGAAAGAAATGAGAACCAATCAAACGACAAATGGATCAGTTTCACAGAAGATAAGAAAACTATAAATAGATTTGGCCAAGGAGTTGGTGATGTTACCTTCAAAGCAAAAAACCTAAAAACGGATGCAACAAAAACTTCATGGAGTGCAAAACGTTTGTGATTACCGTGTCCAAAAAATCTTCTCAGCTAGAAGATTTATTAAACGACACAAAAATCGCCTCACCTTTCATATTAGTGTAAGCGCTGTTACAATACTTCTCATAGAGTTTCGCCAACCGTTGATTATGCGACTCATATAGTTGCAGAGTTTCCTCGGCTCGAAAAAGTTCCTAAACATAATACACCTTAAAGATATTCGACAGCCGAAATCAGGTTAAAATCGATCAACTGACGTTCCAAAAATGAAAAGTCGAGAAAAAGAGTGTGTGAAGAACTATAGCGAGGACTGAAAATCGAAGCGGCTCTGTTCCAGAGATGTTTTGCTTTTCGTCTAGCGTCTAGCTTTCGTCTTTTCGTCTCGTCGTCTAGGTCTCGATTGTACACCTTACTTTTTGAGCTCATTCACAATCATCACTCGTTTTTAACGTATTTTATCTCTCAGCTATGTTACTAGTGTGAATTGTTCATATGATAAATGTTTGTCGTTGGTAGAAAAAGGATCATGGATCTGCTTTAAAATCAACAAGCACTTTTTAGGAGAAATTATAAGGTAGTTATGCTAAATATAAGTTGGATCCAGTCACTCTACTTTGAGATTTAAAAGACCTTCTAAAAAGCGCCAGACTTTGGGAACAATGCTAAATAAGAAGCGCTCAAAACAAAAGCACTTAAGCCACGTTGATTAACAAAAATGACGACAGTCCGTTACTAGGCAGGACATAATCTTCCAGAAGACTGTGAGCAGTACTGTTGCAATTCAGCAATTATCATCAGTAAGTGCAACTACTAAGAGCGAA